TACCATCCATTTTTTTCAAAGAAATGGAACAGATAATCCTAAAATTTATATGGAACAAGAAAAGACCTCGAATAGCCAAAGGAATATTGAAAAAGAAAGCCAAAGTCGGTGGCATCACAATTCCAGACTTCAAGCTCTATTACCAAGCTGTCATCATCAAGACAGCATGGTACTGGCACAAAAACAGACACATAGATCAATGGAACAGAATAGAGAGCCCAGAAATAGACCCTCAACTCTATGGTCAACTAATATTCGACAAAGCAGGAAAGAATGTCCAGTGGAAAAAAGACAGCCTCTTCAATAAATGGTGTTGGGAACATTGGACAGCCACATGCAGAAAAATGAAATTGGACCATTTCCCTACACCACACACGAAAATAGACTCAAAATGGATGAAGGACCTCAATGTGAGAAAGGAATCCATCAAAATCCTTGAGGAGAACACAGGCAGCAACCTCTTCGACCTCAGCCGCAGCAACATCTTCCTAGGAACATCGCCAAAGGCAAGGGAAGCAAGGGCAAAAATGAACTATTGGGATTTCATCAAGATCAAAAGCTTTTGCATAGCAAAAGAAACAGTTAACAAAACCAAAACCAAAAGACAACTGACAGAATGGGAGAAGATATTTGCAAATGAATCAGATAAAGGGCTAGTGTCCAAAATCTATAAAGAACTTAGCAAACTCAACACCCAAAGAACAAATAATCCAATCAAGAAATGGGCAGAAGACGTGAACAGACATTTCTGCAAAGAAGACATCCAGATGGCCAACAGACACATGAAAAAGTGCTCCATATCACTCGGCATCAGGGAAATACAAATCAAAACCACAACGAGATATCACCCCACACCAGTTAGAATGACTAAAATTAACGTCAGGAAATGACAGATGCTGGCGAGGATGCGGAGAAAGGGGAACCCTCCTACACTGTTGGTGGGAATGCAAGCTGGTGCAACCACTCTGGAAAACAGCATGGAGGTTCCTCAAAATGTTGAAAATAGAACTACCCTATGACCCAGCAATTGCACTACTGGGTATTTACCCTAAAGATACAAACGTAGTGATCCGAAGGGGTACGTGCACCCGAATGTTTATAGCAGCAATGTCCACAATAGCCAAACTATGGAAAGAACCTAGATGTCCATCAACAGATGCATGGATAAAGAAGATGTGGTATATATACACAATGGAATACTCTGCAGCCATCAAAAGAAATGAAATCTTGCCATTTGCGACGACATGGATGGAACTAGAGGGTATCCTGCTTAGCGAAATAAGTCAATCGGAGAAAGACAACTATCATATGATCTCCCTGATATGAGGAAGTGGAGATGCAACATGGGGGGTTAAGGGGGTAGGAGAAGAATAAATGAAACAAGATGGGATTGGGAGGGACACAAACCATAAGTGACTCTTAATCTCACAGAACAAACTGAGGGTTGCTGGGGGGAGGGGGTTGGGAGAGAGGGATGGGGTTATGGACATTGGGTAGGGTATGTGCTATGGTGAGTGCTGTGAAGTGTGTAAACCTGGTGATTCACAGACCTGTACCCCTGGGGATAAAAATATATTATGTGTTTATAAAATATAAAAAAATTAATTTATTTGTTAATTAAAGGAAAAAAAAAAGAGTCGGCCTTTGGGTCCTGGGATGGAGACCTAAGTCTGGCTCCCTGCTCAGTGGTTTTTCTGCTTCTCCCTCTCCCTGTCTCCCCATTCATAGGGGCTCCTTCTCTCTCTCTCTCAAGTAAATAAATAAAATCTTAAAGAAAAAAAAAAGCATTCCTCTTTTCTGTCCACAAACCCCTGTTTTTTTGCTCTGTAGTTGGACAGTATTTGGGTTGTATGATCAGTAAACACCAAATTATAATTCTTGATGTCAAATAAACACTTTTGCTTAAGTATGTCTCCTTACAATTTTTGGTGGACACCTTCCAGTTTCTTTTATTACCACTGTAATAAAAAGAGATTGGGAAAAGAAAAACAAAGAGCATACATCTCCTGTACATATGTATGTTAGAGATATCCAGAAAAACTGAGGAAAATGTCCCCAAATGGCTCAAGGCATCACCTTGAATGCCATCTTCAGCTAAGGACAAAAGGAAGACATTGGAATGTGGGTGGGGTGGATAATTATGGAGGTTACCAGGAAAAACCCAGCCAACAATGGTAATATTTGTTAGGTATATTTAAATCCTTGGCTTCTCCATTGATAAGAGGTTTTTTCCCTTTCTTTCTTTATCCTCCCTTCCTTCCTTCCTTTAGTTTTTTCCTCTTCCTTTCGTTCTTTCTTTCTCTTTCTTTCTTTCTTTTCTTTATTCTGTCTTCTTTCTTTTCATTGGTAAGAGTTTCTTGTGATTTGTAGAGTGATGCTCCTCTTTCTGGTACTAAGTGGGAGATAAACATACAAATGGAAATTTCCTTTATTAATGGAAATATTCCTTTAAAAAGGCTTACTTCCACTCTGGTTTCAGAGCCTCTCCTGTGTTCGTGTTTCTTAAAAATCACCAGCTCAAAATCATCCTTATGCCCAAAGGTATCATTTGGAGTGGAAAACTCTGCTACCCTTCATGACTATACAAAAGTGAGGTGGCCCTGTGAGAAACTCAACCAAGCTGGCTTAGGTGCACTGATAGGAAACACACACAAGGATCCCACTTCATCCACAAATTGTGTCTTTGACTATATACTCTTCCCCCTCAATGAAGATTCCACAGTTCACAACACCAGAGGTGTTTTTTTGTTTTTGTTGTTTGTGGTTTCTTTGTTTGTTTTCCACTGGAGTTCTCATTGACACAAACCCCTAGTCATCTGGGGACTTTTCCCCAGAAGATTTTAGGGAAGTGACTTTAGGAGCTAGATCTCTGATTATTTCCTGATAAGTTCAGATTACCCATCTCCAGGTTACCCCTCCCCAGAGCCTTGTCACTCTTCTGTACCCAGAAGGGAGTCTTTGATATTGGACACCTTTGCTTGAGGCTATTCTCAGAGGGAACTTAAGTGTTCTAGATGAGAAAACACAGAACAGGTTCACCTGAGAAGGCTGTGCCCCACCCCTGACAGGCTACTAATCAGTTGGAGTGCTGCACCTCTCACTACTATTCCTTTCTTCACTGCTGCAGACTTCCTGGCTCTCTGCTCTTCAGACCCACATATTGCTTTCCTCAACTAGTGACACCTGAGTGTTGGGTGAGTTGAGTTAGGGTCAGTGCTAAGGATGCTTGAGAGAAAAGGCCCAGAAACACTGCAAAGTGTCTCACTGAACCATCTACTACTAGATGGTAGAGTTAAGGTTGGAAAGTGATCCAATTTTATAAGAAGCAAAGACCTGAATTCAACTCAGTATCAATCCCAGTGAAGCAGTGTCTCCCTTCAACCCATCTACCCCTATTCCCACTTCCTCCCCAATCTTCCCAAGCAGAATACATTGAAGCAGTTTGAATCCTGGTCTTCTAACCTGGGTAGGGCCTTTGGGTCAGGTACAGGGTGGCCCAGAAGTGAATGTGCCTACTCTGTCTTGTGTACATGATATAGCACTTCACATGATAGAGGACGAAAAAAATTTCTCTCTATCATTCAAGATTCTTTCAGCCAGTTTAAGATTAAGTTGACACCAGACAGATTTAATAGGAGAAAAAAAAGCAAAGTTTCATAATGTGCACATAGAGGCCCAAAATGAAATTGAGATCCCAAAGAAATGATGGAGGCAGGTATTTTTTAGACATTTTAAACAATGAGACAATAGATTTGTGAGGTATTGACAAGATAGACAAAACAAATGTTGGGGAGTGCTAATTAGTAAGGAATTCCAAGCACATTCTGGGCTGAGGTAGAAGATTAGTAAAAAGCAAGGAAGTTTATTTTTATAGCTTCTTGGCTTTAAAATCCCTATCACTGCTTGGGTGTCTGGCTGGCTCAATGAAACACGTGACTCTTGATCTCAGGGTTATGAGTTGAAGCCCCACATTTGGCCTAGAGCTTACTTAAAAAATAAAAAAAATAAGTAAAATCCCTACCTCTGATCCTAAGAATGTCTTTCTATTTCTTAGTACAAGGAGGGTACCATTCACAGGAGAGATTCAATTTCTGCTTTGGGGGGTACAGAAGAGGGTCTGAGTATACTTGCCCTGTCTGTTTCCATGTAGATTCAATTCACAATGATCAATATGCCACTGGGACACCTTTTGGGGTGGGCTGTCCTGGGTCCCTACACCATTCTCAGAATTGCTCTCACTGACATATCTCATTTGATGCTCACAAGTCTTTGAAGCAGCTGTTCTTAACCCCGTTTGTGGACATAGGGCTTGAGAACCAGGTTAGAGATTCCACAGGACCAGCTGCATGCCTCATCATAAATAACCTATTGTTTACAAACAACACTATGCCCTCATTTTGACCTGAGTAGCTCTTGTGAGGGCAGTCCCAATCTTGGAACTTGATTGATCAGAACAGTATTTCAAAACTCGAGTTCCTATATGATTGCATTCTGAAACCAAATCAAGAAGATTTATAATTATGATAAAGTGATAAATGGCCACTGAGTAGTACATGGGTAGTCAGAAGTGATAAGAGATTTCACACAGGCTTTGGGGAAGTACTCTAAGGAAAGCAGGATCAGATAAACACCGTTTTACAGAGTCAATGTAACTATAGCCTGGGGTTTGAGAGAACCAGAGCCTTGTTGCTTGGAAAATCACCCTAGTCTTCACCTAACTTCTTCATTCACTTAAGTGGTGACAACCCTTTCCACTTCACAGCCACAAAGCTTAAATTGCCATTTTCTTTTACAGCCACACACTTCAGAGAATTGATCTGGACTGTTGGACAGAGTTAGCTAGAGGGTGATGAGTTCCTCTGTTTGGGTAGAAGAGAGGCCAGACAGCAAGTGTTTGAAATTCTCAAAATAAACTTTGTCTATTTTGGACCATTTTTGTGTTTGTCTCAGTCAGGTTCTAACGTATTTTTAGTTCTCATAAATTTAACTACCTAATGAGATTTATCCTCTTCAAGCCTGGGAACAAAATGGTAAAGTTGGGTGCCAGTGTCTACACTGGCAAGAAAGGAATTTTAAGGTGCAGGTCAACTCTTACGGCAGTGTTCAGATAATGCTTTCCTCTTTCTTCCCTGCAGACCCACAGGTGGCTCTGGTGACTGAGATGGCATCCTCTCTAAAGGTCCTAGGCCCTCTCTTGACCCTGCTGTTTCCCCTAGGTGGGCTGCTTGTACACAGCCAGAACCTTTCTTGGAGGGAATTCATGAAACAGCACTACCTGAGCACGAGCTGGAAATTCAGCGACTACAAATGCAATGATCTCATGAGGGAAAGAGAAGGCCCACAAGACAGGAACTATCACATCTTCATCTATACCTTTTGGCACAAAATCGAGCATATTTGCCTCAGGAAGTGGAGAGACCGTTACAGAAATGTATACATATGGGCCCAGCATCCCTTCAAAATACTCCAGTGCTACCAGGAGGGCAACCAAAAGAGCTATAGAGAGCACAGTGGCTACAGCTACATTGAATTCCACTGTGGCATGAACAGGTATGTCGATGGCATAGAGGACATCCAGTTGTTAGACATCAAAAAATAGTCAGTCTACCCATACTCAGAGGTTCGAGTAGAGTGTCCAATATTTCCCAAGCAGGAAATCCTGCCTCTATCAACAGCCCTTGCTACTCCTTCCTTTGCATTTATGTGCCAACGTTTTCCAACTACTTAGAGTTATGCATCATCACATGTTTTCTTCCTATCAAAACCACTCACAGTTTCTCTGCCTGGATTACTCCTGTGCCCTCATGTATCTGATTTCCTCCTACAGTTTTTTAAGATTAGGCTCTATATGGCTTCTCTGTTTTACTGAACCAGGCATGTTCCTGAAAGTGACTCTCATTACACTGACCAAACCTGAATGGTCTTCCTTCCCTAAATAAATTATGTCACTCCAATGTGTGTGACATTCACATATGTTACATGGTGTTTGATTGGTGGAGGTGTCCCAGGGTGTGTGATACAGATTGTGCTTGGATATGATGGGTGCACAGTGTAGGCTGAAGATGTGTGTCATTGGACTCATTCCTTAAACATGTCTCTAAGGAAACACAAGCATTTTAGATAGGTTAAGGCATTATGCTTCCCGAGGCATAATAAACTAAAGAAGATAATGGCCAAAATAATACATTATAATTTAATTTAAAAAAAAAGAAACAGAAAAGAAAGAAGATAATGGCAAAAATGGGGTTTCTGATAATAACCATTTTCACTAGGCAGAAGTAAAGAGTGGATATGGGATGTTAAAAGGTAACCTTCAAAAATGGGTCTTCAGATTTAAGTTTTGTTGGAGGAAAGAGGAAGTAAATTGCAGAAGGAAATGTTGAGGACACAAATAAGTAATTTCCATGAGAATTCTGTTTGCTAAATGGGGAAGAGTGATACAGAGAAGGATAAACCTTCACTTCATACAATTTTGCCTCCAGCAGATATGGGGAGGAGAAATGTGGAACATTAAAGTACCCTGTGTTCTTTAGCCTCCTGTATTGTTGAATGACTCCAGTATTGAAACACTTGGAGAAAAGGCCAAGATCATAACATTTTCAGTTAGGTGGCTGCATTCCTAGTCCTAGACATCTAGCCCCATGAGTAGCCAAGGAATCTAGGTTAGTCATCATTTTTCAAGAACAGCTTTACAACCTGGGAATGGGCAGATACTGGGGAGATGATTATTTTTAGTAACCAAACTCACAAGACATTAATGTTAAACCACTTGTTCTGTATCAATAATCAATATAAAGATGAGGAAAACTGATCGTTTTTCTCAGTTGATAAAAGCTCAAAATGTCTGCTGTGGGGCACCTGGATGGCTCAGTCTGTTAAGTGTTGGCTCTGAGTTTTGGCTCAGGTCATGATCTCAGGGTCATGAGATCGAGCTCCACATCCAGCTCTGTCATGAGTGTGGAGCTTACTTGGGATTGTCTCTCCCTCTCACTCTGACACCTATGCCATACTCTCACACACTATCTCTCTCTCTCAAAAAATGGAAAAGGAACCCCAGAAAAACAAATAAAACAAAAACAAATGTAGTGGCATAGTTTGTGTTACTCTATTCTGGTTGCCTATACTTATATTCCAGAGTCATCTGTTCTGGTCTCCCATAGTAAATTCTCACAATACATTTTAGAAGCTCTAAAAATTCCTTTTATTAATGGGTTAAAAGATGGTAGTGAATACCATATGGTAGGAAAATGGATTTAAACACAATTAATATAATAGCTTTGTGCTGTTTCCTGGTTTTACCACATCCACTCCCCTCACCCCATTTGGATAGCTGCATATTCATTTCCTTTTGGGAACTCTTCCTCCCCTACTTCTGTGCAGTATTGGTAGGGTCATCCTAAGGTTCCAAATCCCCTCTAATGAGTCAAATGATGGTCATGAGATTCAAGTTAGGCCAACCAGACTCTTTCCTTTAGGAGACCAGAATGTAACACCCCAAAAGGTGGCTCTTTGGCATCCAAATGATTTTGAGCTGACTATTTTGAGAAACAGAAGACAAAGGAGAAGCTCTAAAAGTAGCCTATAAATCACCCACTTACAAATAAGGGACATTTATCATCATAGAGAAAATCTCTATCCCTAAGGATGTTTCCCTGAGCCTAGTAACAAGATAAACATGCCTCTAAGACACAAGAAACTCTTACCAATCTTCTTAAGGCACAGACTTAACTCTGCTTAACAAACCTTACCTTTGTTTCCTATACTTTCCCTGGTTACCTTCCTAGAGCCTGCCTTCCCCACACGTTTCTTCCTTTGTTTCAGCTGAAGATGGTCTGTCAGCCCAAGGTCTCCTCACCTCTTTGAATGAGTCTTCCTGATGTGAAGAACAAAGGCAAAGGAAATGTAGAAAGAAAATTAAATTTCCTTACAATATGCAGCCCATGGACAAGTACTTGGAACAGGCAGAGAGACCTTCTTGAAAGAGCTCAGCTCCCTCAATGTTAATACTTTGCTAAAGGAAAAAGGTAACCTTAGCCTGACATTAGCCCAACCCCCTGGATCTTGTTAAGTGCCCTTTAACATATAAAAATCCTTTTGGAAACTCCTTTATCTCTACCCCAGGCTATATTTGAGCAATCATCCCTCAAGCCTATGGCCCACTGACAGACATGTGAAGGGTCTCAAAACTCAAGATGTACTACACCCTTGTAAATGACCTCATCTTAACAGCAGCTAGACCTGCAATGCCCTAAAACCCTTACTTCCAAATTCCTTAGAGACTTGACTATCCCTAACCCCACCCCATCTTAAGAGTAGAGAATCAACCCCAGTGTAGCTCTTTCTGCCCACGAGTCCTGTCCCAGTACATTCCTTAATTAAAAACCACCATTTTTGTACAAAAGATGCCTCAAGAGATCTTTCTTGATCATTCACTCCTGGACCCCCACATCAGCATATTTCACACCAGTCCCTGCATTTCTGTCTTGTATATATGAAATAACCATGTTAATAAGCTTGTTCGTTTTTCTTTTGTTAATCTGTCTTATGTTATAAAGGCCATAACTGAGAAGAAAGGAGGGAAGAAAAAGACTGCTTCTTCCTCTACATTATCCTCCAAGACTGAATTTCTAGTGATGATGCAAGTGATGTGGGAAACAAAGACAAAAGAAAACTTAAATTTCCATACTTCCTACAACCCATTGACCAGTCCTTGAAACAGGTAGAGTGACATTCATGTGGGAACTGACCCGCTTACATGTTGACAGTTTACTAAGGACAAAAAGCAATCTTAGCTTGTCATTATCCCAACCACCCAGGATCCTGAAAGCCTACCTTCACACCAAAAATTCCCTTGGAAACTACCCTTGTCTCTACTCTGGAAGATATATCTTGGCAATCATTCCCCAAGCATATGGCTCACCTATATACATCTGAAGGTTCTCGTGACTAGGGTTCAATTACACAGTAATAAATGACCTTTTTCTAACAAGAGCTAACCTCCTCAATATCCTGGACATCTTCCTTCCAAAATTCCTTAGAGACTTATGCTATACTTCTCTTCCTCCCAACTTAAAGCTATGTCATGGGCCACTTCCTCATGACCCACTTTCTGTACAGCTTTCCGCCCTCGGGTCCTGTCCACATGCTTTCAAAAAACCATCTTTTTGCACCAAAGATGTCTCAAGAATTCTTTCTTAGCTATTGGCTTCAAACCCTAACATCTTTCCTACATCGTCTATATTGGGAGGGTGATGATGCACCCCAACTCCATGAAGAAGGAAGCTTCTTCACTAAGACCCTTCCACCTTACCCTAGGTATCTTTTTATCTGGCTCTCCATCTGCCTCCTTTACCATATCCTTTAAGAAATTGATAAACCATCAGTGTTTCCTCCAGTTCCATGTGCCACTTTAGCAAAATAATGAAACAAACAAGAGAGTTGGGGAAGCTCAGATTTACAGCCAGGCAGTCAGAAACACAGGTGACAAGCTGGACTGGGGGAGTCTTCTGTGTTTGTGGTTTGTTTTCTCCTAAAAAACTGAAATCATGGAGCTCAAAATGTTAAAGTTTCAGGGAAGAAAACACTCAACCCATATCAGGAATTCATCATTTCCTCACAATTCTTTGAGGAAGTTATCACTTCTCCTTTGTTCTTTTAAGGAGGCTTGGACTTCCTGCATCTGCAGGGATACTGGCTTTAAACAGTGAATTGGAGAGTGTGGGTCTCATCCACACTGTGCCCAGGAAGTGCATCTTCTAGGCCCTAGGTTTCCCTTTCCTCTTTCCTAGGGCTCAGAAACCTTCCCTGCTGCACACAGGCCATGCTGGCATACCTGGCAGAGGAACAGCAGACAAAAGCCTCTGAGCCTGGGACTAACCATGGCCTCTGTCCACAGCAGGAGCTCCAGCCTTGAGACCTGGTAAGAAGAGAAGCCTGGGGGCTGTGGATAGTAGAGCTGTGACGATGGACAGAAGGTCCAGGTCACATAGATGGAGGAGAAATATTCCAGGAGGGAGGAGGGAAGAGACCAGTTTCTCTTTGCATAAGCACAAAAGAAACAGAAACATGGGATCTGCCAGTCAGAGGAAATGTCATCTTAACTCACATTCCTCCTCCATGGGCTTTAGCTCCTTCCTAGAATTGTGAGACTCATGTCAGAAAGAAAGACAAGTCTCTTTCTTAGAACAAAAGATATTCCAAGTGCTCTTATCACTCAGGAATTTACAAGGGTTTCAGGGGCTCTGTGCCAGGAATCAGAGGCAGAAATCCACACATATTTTCTACTCTATCACAGGGATACAGTCGTTGATACTGTTTTTTTTTTAAACTCCCCAGGTGAATTTCATACGAAACCAGAGTTGAGAGCTGCTGGAACATTTGCTAAATTTCTTTCCAAGATTTGCCCCAGTTGTATCTTTCTAGAATGACTGTCAGATCATTGAAGCTGATTTAGGGATATACCTAAATGAATATCGGATTTAGTCAGTTATCTGGACTCTGCTCCTATACATGATTGCATGCAGAAAGGAACACAAACCTGACAGTCCACCATGATCTTGCCGATTTACTTAGAATTAACACTTCTGAGCATAAAAGATTTTCCCCAAGTTATCCTCATTCTTACTCCCTTCGACAATTTCTTCAATCTGTGAGTTTCCTAACATATAAATAACCATATTCAAGTACTAGGTGAGTAAGAGAGTGTAACTGAGTGTTTTTTTTTAAAGATATTATTTATTTATTTGACAGAGATCACAAGTAGGCAGAGAGGCAGGCAGAGAGAGAAGATGAAGCAGGCTCGCTGCTGAGCAGAGAGCCTGATGCGGGGCTCGATTCCAGGATGCTGGGATCATGATCTGGTGGAGGGCAGAGGCTTAACCCACTGAGCCACCCAGGTGCCCCGGAGTGGTTTGATGAAAGGAAATTCAGCCTTTTACTAAGTTACTTTCTCCAAGAATCTGCTGAAATGTCCAGGTAATGTTTATAGAGTACATAAGCACACTGTGATTACTGATCAGGTTGATGCATGCCATCTGAAGACCCCTTTCCCTGAGGATGATGCTATGTTCCTACACTCGTTCCTATCCAAATGTGAACACAGATCCTTGTGTCCACTCCCCCCGCACTTGGCTTGAATACTTTGACACTCTGATGTAAATGTCGTGCTGCTAAAATCAATACTAATGAAAGCTGCTCTAAATTGGAGGACTCAAGTCCCATGAGAGAAGTTCCCTACTGGGCACCCACTTTCTCAAGTGCCAGGTTGTCCTGGTCTTCTTATGTCTTCCCACTGAGAGGGGCCTTGAGTATTTAGCACCCTCAGAATCCAGGCTCCTGAACCCTGAAACTTTCATATTTCTGTCTTTGTTTCTAAGACCTGACATAAAGATGTGGCATAAAGGAAGGTGAGCCCAGCTAGCACAGCTGTTAAAGGAATCGCTTGGTTTGGAAAGAACCATTGTGCAGCACAGATAACTGACACACTCATAACTACTTCACCATGGGGCCTTTCTGATAGGCATTATGTTTGGCTGCTACTCAAAGACAGATCAGGCTACAAAGCACTTTGACATACACTGGACTGTTAACCCAGTGAGGCTAGTAGTTGGCAAGGAAATGGAAAGGTATGAGGGGTAGCAGAATAGGCCACCCCCAAATATTCCTTTTTGGCATAAGAATTGTGTTAAGCTGTTTATTGTGAGAAAGTACAGAGGAGAAGTTCTAAAAGCAGAGTAAAGGTAGCTCTTTTGTAGGGGAAACTTACATTAGAAAGAGGCCTGTTCAGGGAACTGAACCATGAGATGGGTCACCTTCATCTGAGAGAGTCATCTCCCTGGCAGGGCAAATATTGTTTCCCAAATATTTTCTCCTCTCACCTTCCTCTGAATTGCCTTCCCCCTTTTGAAGCCCTAGACCACGATCCTTTCCATAGTCAGGATGGTCCATAAGACTCATTTGGCTACTTGCTTTTAAGAATAATGTTTCTGTGGTGCTCCAGTATTATGTACATATTAAAATAGTTTTTGTCCTATTAAGTTGACTTTTTATTAAAGGGTAGGTGTTTTCAGCCAAGAACCTAACATGGTAAGGAAGAATTATTTTTCCTCCCCTGAACCTAGGACCTAAATTCTCAGTCCCAGCCAAATTTTTTTTTAAGTGACTTCCTTTATTTATGTGAGAGACACAGAGGAGAAAGCAGATACCCAAGAGGGTGGGAGAGGTAGAAGAAGAGGGAGAAGCAGGTTCTCCTCTGAGCAGGAAGGCAGAATGGGGCTCAAGGTGACCAAGAGATCATGAGCTGAGGCCATGGCAGAGGTTTAACAGCTTAACCCACTGAGACACCCACGTGCCCCACCACCAGCCAGACCCTTAATCGCTGTCCTTCAGTGTTTAAATCAACTACCTTTTCCAAAACAGCATGACTTCTGTGATATTTCAGTATTCAGGAGGGCAGGATGTTTTCAATTCCCAGCGCTTTTTTTCCCCCTTGATCTATGCTTTCTCTTCATGCATCGCAATAGATCATGGGAGAATTGACTCTACAGCCACAGTGAATTATTATCAGTACTACTACTTACATTTAATGCACTATCTGATGAAATACAGAAACTAATAGTAAAGATGTACAGTGTATCGGTTTTCAGGGTTAGAACCTGTGTGTGAAATACTATGCACATACTATGACGTGTACTTATCACCTCCAAACAAGCATGGACCATGGTTTCAAGGGAAATATGTAAAAGCCTTGAGCAGAGTTTGAAGGGATGGAGCACATTCTTGCTCCAAAGTCCCAGGGATGCCGTGGTGAGGGAAGTAGCAGAAGCCTTGGGTTGCTGAATAACCTCAAAGTTTGGCTAAGGCCCAGATGGTTCTCCTGAGTATATTGTTGGCAAATGCCATGTAGATGGATCCAGGCTGGCAATGATGTGAAAGACATCCCAAACACACACACTCAAGGTCATTACAATATAACAGAAAGTGTTTTATTGCTGTGAACAAAATACAACAAAGCTTGGCAGAAGTTCCAAGATTATAAAAATAAAGAGACCTGGGTCTTTCCTGGCCCTCTTGGCTATTGTCTTCCTTCAAAACACGCAGAGCAGAAAGGAATGCTCTTTGTTTGTGTCCCCAACTCTGGCCTGGCATCATGGTCCCCTACTTCCCTCACTCCCCTCCTTCTTTCCTCTATGGAAACCATGGAAATCAACAAAAGAAAACAAAAGGCAGAAGAGATCATGGGAAAACCTGCACCGAGTGAGAAGGAACATTATGGAAACTTTAGTCTTAGTCTAACCCTACAGGAGTCAGACAACTGGGAGGGTAGCCTGGCTGACGAGGGTCCCAGGCAACAATGTAGAACCTGTTCTGGGGAGTGGTACTGTAGCTGCAGTCAGGATATCTCCCTCCAGTGTGATAGCAGGAAGTCATGTTAATAGGATTTGCACTCTGGTGGCAGTTATTCCCACGAGGCCTGCAGGTCCTGTTGGGCCAACTGCAGGTAATGGTCACATTCTGTAAGTGATGAAGTTCTAGAATCTAGGTGAGGTTTGGTGGGGTGAGGTCCAGAGCCAATGACCAAGAAAGAATTCTTGAGACATCTTTGGTGCGAAATGGTGGTTTATTAAAGCATGGGGACAGGAAGAGCTGCTGCCCCAGGTTGTGAGGGATGGCAGGCTATGTACCCTGTGGTTGGGAGAAGGTGAGGGAAAGGAAGGTTTCAATAGAACTAAAGAGGACCTACAAAGATACCAGATATCAGAGGCCTTGCCACCAGAAGCCTTGCTGGTGTCAAGGTTGTTTTTCCCTTTTAGCAAGCCATTAACATTAAGATAGTTGGGACATTCTTAAAGAATGTCACATTTGTCTCACCCAGGAGTAGGGGTGAGGGGGAGATTGTGAGGTGTCAGCCTTTTGCTTTGTCCTCAGCCAGCCAGCCAGCCTTCTGTTCCCTCATCATAAGGAGTCCTGCAGGAAAGAGTTTTGACCTATACAGGTCCAGTTAGGATTATTGACAAGACACATTGCACTGTTGCATTGAGCAGTACTTGGTCTTAGATGCTGAATTGTAATGTTTGAACACTGGTGGAGGGTAGAGCTGAGTGACATAGTGGATGCACTAGCCCCCATGATCCCAACAGCAACAGGAGGAGAGGAAAGGGTCCCAGAATGTCCAGCATCATCTCTTTTGTGTAGGAAGAGAGAAGAAAAATGAGAGAATGATAGTAATAGAATTCATAAGAGGAAAATTATCATTCACAATCATTTAGATCTGTTTGTGAGTCAAAAGACTCATCTTTTGTTCTAAGAAAGAGACTTGACAGAAAGAAATTGTCTCCAGGAAAATAATTTATTTCCTGCCTTTATTCAAAAAAGGGAGAGCTCTTTCTGCATTTACTGATTCTTAACTGCCTTTAGTGCGAAATAATTTTTGTCTCAAAGAGTCATAGTTTGGAATGACGTATCTGGTTTCCTCAGCATTGGTATTTCATGTATTTAACGTTTCTTTAATTTCCTTCAGCAGAGTTTTGTAGTTTTCCTCATATTGATCATGTTCAGTTTCTAGTAGACTCATATCTAAATATTTCATTTTTCACTGGTGTAGTAAATGGGTTTTCATATTTCAATTATTCATTGCTGATATCTAAGAAAGCAATTGATTTTTGTTATTAACCTTGTATCTTGCGATTTTGCTCTAAAAAGACATCATTTTAATCCTGTAGGTAATTGAAGACACTAAAAGCAAGAGTGTCCCACTATTCTATTTATGCTCAGGGAATACTAATCTGAAAGGGATATGTAGAATTGGAAGGAAAAGAGGCCAGAGGCAGGGACCCTGTCCCTGTCGGAGGCTTTTCTATGAGCCCTCCAGGAGACAAAAGATTCCAAATAAGTGTATTACAGCACCAGTGGAAAAGTAAGAACAGAGTGAAGAGTCAAATACCCTAAACTGGCCCTTCTTCATGCCTGTGGGTCTCTTTGTACCAAATTCCAACCTGTCCATACACCCAATATACAGGAAGCCAAATTCTGAAACACTGGGTCTAAAGCAAAGAAAGCTTTATTGTCAAGAAGGCAGCCCATGGAGAAAGGAGGGAATTGTTCCCAAAGCTGCCTTGCCCTGTTGAGCATAGGGAAAACTTATACACATAAAAGAAAGGTAAGAGTTTTTTGAACCTTGTTGGGGTGTCCTTGAAACAATCTGGAGGTAAGCATTCTTAGGGACAATCGGGCACTATTTGGGTCCTGGGATCACATACATCAAAACAGATGTTATTTTTTGGTCCTCTTTATGTTTCTACAATCAGTGGGTAAAAAGGGATTAGGAGTAAGAAGGCAAAGTTAATGACTGAATGTGCATGAGGTTAAGAGGTAAGGAAAATAGGGACACCTGGGTGGCTCAGTCAGTTGAACTGAGTTTTGGTTTCAGCTCAAGTCCTGATCTCATTTTGGTGGTACTGAGCCCAATCAGGTTACATGCTTGATGGGGAACATGCTTGGGGATTCTCTCCCTTTGTCCCTCGACCCACTCATGCTCTTTCTCTCTCTCTCAAATAAATAAATGAATCTTTCAAAGAAAGAAAAGGGGTATTTAGGGAACAAAACAATGAAGAAGAACTTTTTAATGCCGCCTATACAATTGTTTTGCTTATGCCTTCAAAATGGGTCTGGGAGCCAAGGGTCTGACTGCCTCTTTACACACAGTTCCCTCTTTGGGATGACCTTACCATCCTCTTCACCTAACTTCTAATTAATTTTCAAAACTCAGTTCAGGTGTTGTGGTCTTCTCTCTACCAGCTCCTCACAGCTCCCTGGCATCTCCTCTAACTCAGCCAAAATAACTATTTACAGTTATTAATATACAGTGCATTTCTCTATTTATCTGATATTCTCTTTCATTAGATCATGAGCTCCTAAATCTGAGTAGCCCAGTATCCGGCCCAATAAAATTGCAGGTACATGAATAATTCATTCAAGTCTGTTGCTGGAACTGAAAACATTACCAGGTACATGGTCAACTCTTACATCAAATTTACATGGTGTGTTTGGAGAAAAGAACTGAAATCATAGAGTGTCAAACACTGAAACTTCAGATAGGAAAGAAAGCACTCAGCCCATATCAGGAATTCATCATTTCCTCACACTTCTTTGAGGAAGTTATCACTTCTCCTTTGTTCCTTTAAGGAGGCTTGCTCTTCCTGCATGTGCAGGGATACTGGCTTTAAACAGTGAGTTGGATGGTGTGGGTCTCATCCACACTGTGCACAAGAAGGGTATCTTCCAAGCCCTAGGTTTCCCTTTCCTCTTTCCTAGGGCTCAGAAACCTTCCCTGCTGCACGCAGGCCACACTGGCATACTTGGCAAAGGAACAGCAGACAAAAGCCTCTGAGCCTGGAACTAACCAGGGCCTCTGTCCTCAGCAGGAGCTCCAGCCTTGAGACCTGGTAAAAGAAGAAGCCTGGGGGCTGGGGAGAGTAGGGACCTGAGGATGACCAGAAGGTCTGGGTTAAATAGATGGAGGAGAAATATTACAGGATGGAGGAGGGAAGAGATAAGTATCTGCATAAGCACAGGACAAAGAGAAGAATGGGATCTGCCAGTCAGAGAAACAGTCATCTTATCTCCCATTCCTCCTCCCTGGGCTTCAGGTCCTTCCTAGAATTGTGAGACTCACATCAGAAAGAAGATGGTTTTAAAAAAATGGATGAAAGAAATCTTGAAAGGCGCAATGAAGATCTAAATGGTTGTGAATGATAATTTTGCTCTTACTGCTTCTACTATGATCATTCTCTCACTTTCTTCCCTCTTGCACAGAAGAGATGATGCTGGATCTTCTGGGACCCTTTCCTCTCCTCCTGTTGCTGCTGGGATCATGGGGGTCAATGCTTCCCCCTGGTGCTTGGGCTCAACCCTCCACCAGTGTTCAAACGTTTATACTTCGGCATATTAGTGCAGGTCCTGTCCAGTGGAACACGGAAATGTCTCGTGTCAATCATCTTGAACGGAGCTGTAAGCGTGAAAAAACCTTTTCGCACTACCTCTTCCAGAATGTGTCAGATACCTATATTTTGCCCAATAGGATCTGCAGGAATGGCCAGAACAACCGCCACCAGAGTGTAAATTGTACTGGCATGACTCACGGCTATGACGCTGGAGAAACATACCCCAACTGCAACTACAGCACTACTCTCCAGAACTGGTTCTACATTGTTGCCATAACGACTCTCAGCCAGGCTACCCTCCCAATCTTCTGCTTCCTGTATACTTAGATTTTATCAGCCCTCTGCTTTCTGTACAGTTAGGTTAAGACCAAGGTTTCCATTGCCTTCCCTCTCACTTGGTGCAGGTTTTTTTATGGTCTCTTCTGCCTTCTGTTTCCTTTGTTCACTTTCATAATTCCCTTAGAAGACAGAAGGAGGGGAGTGGGAGAATTACAGGGTCAAGATGCAAGACCAGACTTGTGGACAAAAACAAATAGGATTCTTTTCTGTTTTGGAGCTTTGTATGTTTTGATGGAAGGCAATACGGAAAAGGGCAATGAAAGACACAGGCCCCATATTTTTAATCTCAGAACTTCTCCCAAGCTTTGTTGTATTGTGTTCACTGCAATTAAATCAATTTCTGTTATACCCGAACTCCATGCACACAGAAGCTCCTTCATGAGGGACCCTCCCAGACCTTACCTTACATATCTCTTTATCTGGCTGTTCATCTCACTCCTTATCACATCCTTTCATAAACTGGTAAACAAAACTGTTTCCTTGAGTTTTGTGAGCAGCTCTAGCAAATCAGTGCAACAAACAAGAGGTGGTGGGAATCTCAGATTTATAGCCAGGCAGTCAGAAGCACAGGTGACAAGCTAGACTTGGCATGGCACCTGGACTAGAGGAGTCTTGTGAAACTGAGCCTTTAACCTGAAGGAGTTGACACTATCTGCAGGGAGGTAGTGTTAGAATTGAGTTAAACTGTAGAATATCCAGACAGTGTCCCAGAGTGGCCTAGCGTAGGACACGACCCACACATACACATGTGGTATCTGAAGTGCTGTGAGTGTGGTAGCAGTGTGACAGTAAAGAAGAGACACAGAAGCTGTTTGTCCCAACTCAATTCCTTTAAATGAAATTATGAACACTTAATCAACAACCAATGAATTTCTGAGGATGGGCTCTGGGCTTATGGAATGTTTTTAAAGGTCCCTGCCTGACTGTAATGGGCAGTCTGATTCAGGGACTACTGTCCATCTAGAGGTAGGACTAACGGGCTAGGGGGAGGGGAGGAGAAGGAAGAGAGGGGAAGAGAGACACCACATGTAGCCCACAAAGATGAAATAGTTATTGTCTGGCCCTGTATAGAAAAGGTCTGCTACTTCTGGTTAACAAAACTATTCTATGGAAGTTGTCTTCTGGCTGTGGCTGACCCAGGTGGCTAGAATTCAGTAGGGAAGACACCCACCAGGCTGAGAATTTGTAACCGTGCCTCAGGAAATCATGGACTCAGGACTGGAAAGATATTTGGCCTCTTGGTGTCTCTCGTCAGTGTTCTTTTCTATGCATTCCCTCAGTCTGTACATAGCAGATTCATTTCCTCGACCCTTCTGTTTCACGTGGTGAACCCATGTTCATCTCACTTTCTATTTCTCCCTTAAATATAGTTTCCTGCTGAAGGATGTCTGATTGACCCACCTGCATCAGTCAGTCATCACTCAGAGAGAGTTCAATGGCACAAAAGTGCTTTCTGGAGCCTTCTTCTGTGGGCCACGCAGGAGATAGGATTAGAGCTGGAACTGCCCTTACACAGAAAAGTGGAGTCTCGGGTCTGGCTCCCAAGTCAAGGATGCCCACCCACACACTTTGCAACACTTTTGAAGTTCCCATCTTTTAAGTTTTCACTTAACTTTTTTTTTTTAAGTAAACTACACTGAATGTGAGAATTGAACTCCTAACTTTGAGATGAAATGTCTCATGCTGTACCTACTATTTAAGGCACCCCTTAAAAGTCTGCCTGTAGTGGTGCAAGTTGACCAGAGCCAGCAGGGCCTGAACTGAGACCCACACTTGCTCCCAACCTGTGTCTCCCCTTCCAGACTTTCCTGACCCTCTGCCTTTCCTCACAGCACAGGAAGTTTTGAG